TATAAAAAATGTAATGAGACGGTATTTCGCATAATGCAGGCATACAATCGTAAGGACGAAAAATTCTACATCGAGGGGAAAGGCGTACCACTTCATCGAAGCGATGTCCGACTAATTTTTGGCATCTAATGCAGCGTGGACCAGCTTGATTTGGTTCATAGGTCGAGGCCACCGTTTGATTTTATTTAGTGTCGCTACGACATTGTGGGAAGGATATCGTGCAAAAAAATTAAGGAGCTATTAGACGATACAGTACAGGGCAATAGTCGTGATGACGAAGAAGACATCGCAAAGCTACTGTCATTGTATATATGTGCGAAATTGTTTTTTACCATAACCGGAGAGTTACTTGGCTAGGCGTTTGTCCCAGTTATTAACAAACTAAGTACGTTACAGTTGTATGATTGGACGGCTGCAATACGGACCGCGTTAATTGTGTCACTGAACAAGTTCCATGATCGGCCGGAAAAGGTAACCGGATGTGTTGTTGTTTTGCTCATAAGTTAATGTGACATGTTTGAAATAGTATGAATTTTTCAGTTAATGACATGTTTTAATTAGTTTAGTAGTACGTAGTGTTCAGGAATGTGTTTACAATGTACTGCAATTTTTTTATGTGAATACACCAACCTCATCGAACCGAAACAACACAATGTGCTGCCATGGTTCTACAAATGGAGCATTGCAACTTTGACAACACAAATGAAAGGGATTGACTGGACTCGCAGAGGACAATTTTAGGTATGACACGGTAGAATGATTTGAATGTTTTTATTAGAAAATACGTAGTAGAGTGGGTAAAAATTATGTGTCATGTTTGATGGGTGAGGTGCGATAAGCTGGAGGGTGCAATTGTTGAACGATACAAAATTGGTACAACATTAGTTAGTGGTAAATGTACGAGGACAGAAGGCAAGTTGTTGGAAGTAGAACCAGTGTCGGTGCGTGCTGTTGTGTCACGTAGGGATGTTGTTTCTGATGTTGTAAAGCCTAGTTTTGATTGTTGGCGAGTGGACTCACCTGCAGGGGGCCACGTCGAGAAGGGCAAAAGGATGGACGAGGCAGACACTCACGAATGAGGCAGCAAGTGTGTTACGAAACATGGCTTGGGCGTGGTTGTTAGAGGTGAAGGGTGGCTAGTATTATTTTCGGATCTGCTGGATTTGTTAACCACGCAACTAATTGAGAATGAGGATCCAAAAGTAGTCAGTGATAGTGATAAAATGAGGGAAACATTTAAAAGAAGAACAGAGCTGGAGGACGAATTGGGACAGAAATCAGAATGTGTGCGTGAACTAGAAGGTAAGGTTATGAGCATGGAATGTGCACTTGGTTCGCAAGCTACAAATTTGTGTATGGGGTTCGATAGTGTCATCAACTCAAAGGACGCTGAAATTGCACGTTTAAATGCCCTCCTGTTCGAGATGAAAACAACAATAGCATGGTTGGAGGACCAGGTTGACGAGTACGAGGTGCACGAAGTAACACAGTCGGCTAGGAACGTAGCTTTAGGTCGGGGCACATCATCAGACCAAGGTGGTGGCTATAAGTCCATTCCACAGTGCCATAATAGAACCGGCAAGCAAGGGCCACCGAAACACATAACTAGTGTCGATGCTAACGGATGTGCAGTAAACGAACCACGTAATAACGATGTTGACGCAGTGAATCGAGGTTTTGTTGTCGAAAACATAATGAAACCAAAAATGGGTGAAGCTGCAGATCAGTTTCCATCATTATAGGAAGGTGTATATAGTCCCACAGAGGAACAAGGTCCATGCCATTCAGTAGCCACAAGTAATGCAGCCCCAGCAGCAAATAATACAAACATTAAACAGGTTCTGGATCGGCCAGGTATTGATGTGGTAGATAGGGTAATAGACTTTGTGAATATTGAGACCCCAAATATCACATCGTTGGTACGGCGTGTGAAGAGCAAAGCTAGGCAGGAGTGGAGGTTAGAGGATTATGAGTATCCTGGGTTGGTAAAGCGTTCCAAACAATCAAAAAATGAGGGCAACATCGAGCCAAACACAAATGAGGTTATAATTAACGTTGAAGACAACAAGGGAGGGAAAGACATGGGCAGGATTTGGAATGAAAAATCGGTATACGGTTTGGAAAATGTTGGCTGAAGATGAACAGAAACTGTTAGAGGTGGTGTACACCTTCGAAGGGGACGGGTAATGTATACATTTGACAGTATTGTTGTTGTAGTTTCTGTGAAATTGTTTATACCATTTCAATTTTACTTATGTGATTGTAATTTGGTGTAGAGCTGTGATATGGAGTGCACCAGATCATGGTGTGCATGTTAATTTCAAAGACATCTAGGCGCTTGTACAAGGGGGTGCGACCGCCGAGAATGTAAGTCTGTTGTGTTAGTGTCGGTAGCGCAATATCACAAGTCCCACCATGGTTATGGGACATGTAATGTTGCTGCATATGCGCATCATCGTGTAAGACTAATATACTTGGAAATGTGTGTAATTTGTGTTGTTAGGTTATTGATGCATATGCTGAAATTCTAAAAAGTGCACAAAACCTGTCAGCTTCTAATACAGTTAATTTCAATAAATTTTACTTCTATAACAATGTGTGTTTGGTGCCTACATGTTATTATGAGTAGCGTTTCATTGTTCTTTAATTTGATTAATTTATTTTTGATAATGGGGCAATAAATGTATGGTTTTTGGTTGGTTTGTCAATGTTTGTAGGACATGATGAGGAACCCAAGTGTAACGTCCAAGAACCGTTACCTTAACGTACACGTGATAGCTGCCTCTAGGTTCAGATACGTCCACTACCCTATATACCATGCGAATTATTGGATGACCATGGTGTACGATTCAAACTCCAGGACATGGACACATTATAATTCAATCAAATCGCATAGAGGCAATAAGGATGATCATTTTGCTGAGGCGGTGAAAGTGGTAAGTACAATTGTATCTAAATTACATGTTTTTGTGGGATGTGCGTGCGTTACATATATGGTAACAGTGTTTGTTCGATGTGGTTGATTGGGTCATGTTATGTAACACAGAAACAGTGGGTTGTGGATTACACAAAGCGTGTGGTAGATGTTACGCAACCATTTGTGGGTGTGACATCAAAAAACATCGACAGACCCTTGGAGGCTTTGGGTGATTGCCCTTAACAATACCCGGAATTGTATATGAAAATTAAAAAATCAGTTAAAATTTGTTCCAATATTTTTTTTGTAATATATTTCCTTTGGCAATGCTGGTTAACATGTTCCCGCGTTGCCTACTAGTGGACTGGATTGCGTTGTTATGGTATGCTTTATTATGCGGTAGTACGCAAATAACGTGGAGGTGAAAGATTCAATGGATGGCATGTCAGCCAGGGTGTTTAGAGCAGAAATGGTTAAGGCATTCCTCAATGATCCACAAAGAGGGCTCTGAAATCGACCTTTGCCTTGACTGATTTGGTCGAATGCATATATTACCTGAACTATTTTTGTTTTATGTGTTGAAATGATACTGTTTGGTTTTGATAGTAGTGATTTTTTGATGGTGCACTACCTATGTGGCCTGTTATCCCAGTTAGACAACCCAAGAGGGGGAGTGAATTGGGTTATTAAAAATTTCACAATATTAAATATAACACAATATTCAGAATTTGAATAAATAAAAAAAAACAAAATAATAATTATCAATATAAAAGTAGAAGAGATAGAGAAAGAAAATCAAACACTGCGATTTATAGTGGTTCGGCACTGTAGACGTCCCCGAACGCCCCGGGAGGGTGAGTCCCGTTCTGTTCATTTGTGGGGTCACTACAGCTCAGTGGATTTGGCACAAGACTTACTCTTATCTATTGAGCCTCACTCAAAAATAAATGTCTTACCCTTACAAAATCTCTCACAAAAATAAGGAATAGGAATAAGTGGTAATTAAACCCACTTTTACAATAATTCTCTCACAAAGAGTAGATATGAAAGTGTAAGAACAAAAACTAGACTTAGATCTGAAAGTGAAAGAGAAGAATACAATTTGGAGCTCACAGAAAATTTTCTTCTTCAAGTTCTTGATTTTTTCTCCACATCACACTTCTATTTATACACAAAAATATACCCGTTAAACACTCTTTGCTGACGTCATGGCTTACATAAGCACGCTCCTGACGTCATGGCTTACATAAGCACGCTCCTGATGTCATCGCTTACATAAGCAGGCTCTTGATGTCATTGCTTACATAAGCACACTCCTTAAATTTAAATAGTCAGCAAATGATAAGAAAAAAGATAAAAATAAGATTGATTTTTTCTTCTTGTTTTTTTCAAACATGGAGCCACCGTTTTTGTAGACAATTTAATACAAAGTTCACAACTTTCAAACAAACAAATAATTTTCTCCATCTAGTTTATAATATATATCTATATACACATATACATAACTCCATCTTGTTCTTCTTGTTTAATTATAATATGATATAATTAATGTAGTGTAAAAAATTTAATAGCGCACGTGATGTATTCTGCATATAATGTTATATAAGTTCTGATCAAAATTTTGCATACAGAAAAATCTCTATAATTAATATTTATGATAGATCTGAAAATATATATCCTCTTTAAAATATTGTATATGTTGTAAAGATTTTATACTAAATATTTTACCACTCCATATTAATTTTGTCAAAATAAGACAACCCATAAATATCAAATTTGTCAAAATAATACAACCAATCAATCATTTTTTGTCAAAATAATACAATTAATCGATTTGTCAAAAGATGAATAGTAATTAACCCTATTTTTCAAAAAGTGAATAGTAAAGTTTTTGAAAATATTTAAAATAATATTTAACATATATATTTTAAAAAGATAATATTATTTTATTTAAATAATATTTAACAAATATATATATTTTAAAAAGATAATAATTTGTGTCAAATAATATGTATATTAACTAATATATTTTAGACATCATCAAAATTAAATAATATGATTAACAATATACAATAAAATTTTACATTTCCTGAGAAATATCACTAAAAGAAAATAAGAATATATTCAATCTTGTTTAATTCAAGTTCTATGTAATGAAAAATCAAGAGCATGTTTAGTTGTCTGAAATAGTCAAAATCATGTTAGTAATCTTCTCTGTTTTAGCTTTCTTGGTCATGCTAATGATTGTTAGTCTTACCGTGTTTTCGTTAAAATAAAGATAATTTCAAAATAATTATAATTTTAATACACATTTTATATATATTTCGAAACATTTTTGTATATTTAACATTTTTTTAATACATTTTTTATAGGTACATTAACACTAATATTCGCCCACTAAACAGTGAATAGCATTTTATTTTTTAAATTTAGTTATGCTGACTAAATCTCTATGGTTTTTGTCTGGTTCTTCCTTTTCAGGATTTTTCATCTCTTATATTAGGCTATTATACAAGATTCAGAGTACACAGAGAGTTAAGGGGAGGAGGAAACCCAACTTAATTTTCAGTAAAATTTGGGTAGAAGTTATCACAATTAAAGAAACCATGAAAGGAAACAAGAATTTACCTTGTTCGCAGGTACATGCCGTGATGTGGTCATAGCAGAACTCTTCGCATTATTGCGATGAAAAGAATGTCGGCCAAGTGGAACATGTGGAGCTGATGCTATAGCTGAAGTATCGGGCAAAAATCTTGTGAACTCATCAAGCAAATCTGAGTGGTCTGAAAAAAGTACAGCAACCTACAAAGCAATGGAAAATAATCTCTAAAACTATAAAAATCAGTATAACAAAATTATCCACACACCAACGGATGGTCAAATATAAAACAATTTATGTCATTTAAGTTAAAAATAAAAGATACTACAATTTTACCTCATGGTAGACCTCAGTAATGCCCTTATGCTCCTTTTTGTACATATTCAAGATCTCAAGAAATGATTTATATACATGATCATCATTTTGGAAACGTTTCTGTAGAGAGAAAGTAAAAATCCATCTATTAGATGCCCCATAAATTATAATCAGCGGCTCAATATACACAATCTAAAAACAATTTCACCTTTATCTTGTTTACAAAACTTATAGCTTCTTCAAACTCAACAGTTCTCTTTGTCGGGGGCTCTTCCTCATCAATGAGGGTAATTTCATAACCCTTTGACAAGAAGGTGTTGAACCCAAAGATTAGATTGTTGTGCCCTTTGAATAGTTCTTTCACCCTCGCTATGACACCAGTAGTGTCGATTCTAAAAAAATTAAGTCCATTAAATGAATTTGATGAAATATTTAGTGCTGACCCATTTGCCACGTGATAAACAGATGAAGAGAAAACTATGTACCTTTGAGCCTTAAAATCTTTCATGACATCAAGGAACATGTCATATTTATCTCTTTGATCTTGAAACATTTCCTTAACTTCTTTGAGGTAAGTTAAGGCATCATTGGTTGTTAGTTTCTGTGCATGTCCACCTCCACCTCCACCACCACCACCACCACCACCTCCAACTCCTCCTCCTCCTCCTACAGGGATCTGGGGCTGCCCATTGCTTCATCACCAGAAAAAATATTATAATTTGACAAAAGGTCAACTCACTCAATAATAAAACCAATAAACCAAAATCCATAGAACAGTTGATTTGCAGTTCATCTTATATTCTGCAAATGCTAATTTTGGTGCTGAGAGTGATAGGTTTTCTATCATTTTTTATAATTTTTTGATAACAAAGATATCCGGAGCTCTGCCCCAACTACTCCCCAAATACATGCAGTTCTGCCATCTAATACATACAGCATAATTACTGGTTAGATATTTCATGAGATTTGAACTCGTGACCTATGCTTGCTAAGGCACATATCACAAATCAACTCATCAAATGGCTAACCCCTTGGAGTTTAGGTTCTATTATTTGAAAGCACAGAAAATAAAAGCCTACACTCTACATGGTTAGATGCAACAATTAGGCTCATTGTTTTTAATTTTTATTTGCATCTCTTTTCCACGGTTAGTTTGGCAACCAAAAAAGTGGTTGACCATACAATCTATTCGAAGTAAGTAAAAATAGAGGGTATCACCAGATTCTGATCCCAAATTTTTCCTATTGAAACCATGTACCTGAAATCAGTGATTAAACATACAAGACCTCACAGAATTCAAGGAAATTCCATGGTAACTCATTATAAAACATAACATTGAACAAAAAAAATAAACAATACAACAACGCAATAAATCAACCGTACGGTCGCCTACCAGGAAAGAAACAAATCAACTTACAATAAACCCATTACAAAACAAACCATTTTTTTTTTTTTAAATACAAAATTCTAACCAACATGATTCATAATTTACCAAAATCAAACAAAAGAACAAATCGAGAATCCAACAATTGTAGAAAGAGATACATATGAAAAAATCTTCCAACTAACTTTTTTTTTACAGAACTTTAAAATTGCTTTTCCCTTTGACACGAAGAACAACCTAATCTACAATTAGAGGATTCAAATCCTATTCTCTTGAACACTTGCATAAAATTTGAAGCCCAATATTCGATATTGGTTCTGCTTGTAATGATACCAACGTATTCAAAAGTAAAGAGAAAGCAAATGAAGACAGAGAGTATTGAAATATACATATGGAACGTCTTAGAGATGAGTTTGAGCTTGTCCTGTGCCTCTTCGATGAGCTCTTTGACTTGGCCACTTGCGAAGCGCTTCTCGATCATTTCTTATCTGTAGAAAAACCAAATATCAAGACACATTACAAACTCTATCTACCCAAGAACAAATGAATTGGAAAAATTAATTGAAACAAACTAAATTGTAGGCCTTTTCCTTGAAATTTTGTTGCAATCATAGGAAAAGGCTTTGCCATGAAAAGAATTTAAGGGTTATTTTAGTCAGGCATATTGTCAAATAATTGGTATGCATAATTTCTCCACACATTAACAAGCACGAAAACACTTACAAATTTGGCATGAACATCTCAGTAGAAAACAAACAATGAGAAGGAATATCGGCAACAGATAGAGCAAGAAGATGGTGGTGCGAATTTTAAATGTTGCCCAACCAATTCTTCTACAAAGAGGTGCTCCAAGATTATAAAATCGAGGTACACCGAACAGAGGAAGCTTGTAGAAGCCACTGAAATCCACACCAGTACAAACAAATGTGAAGGCAACCAATGGTGAGATTAGCCAAACAAGCAAACAAAAAGCACCGCTTCGGCGCTACACCTTGTGAAGACACTTCAGCATTTGCCCAACTCAAATGGGAAGTTCTAGGAACCCACGTGCCCAGCCCAAAATCTGTGAGGAAAGAGTTGGAAATGACGCAAACAGCATCATGGAAAATATTTGCAAGAAAAGCTTTACAAACCAAAGAAGCAACAGAACTACACTGAGAAGCCCAACGTTACACCATGTTACACCACTCTTGCGTTCTTTTTATATTTATGTTATAGATATGTATATATATATATATATATATGTTAGCGGAACAGGACATGTGACTGCCCACAATGAAAAAGACTTGGGACATGCTGAAACATACATAGAAGAAGCATAAAAGGACAACGTGGCACTGAAACAGGTTGAGGTGGCAAGGAGCAGTTTAACATTTGAATGGTTTTTAGCAAAATTCAAATTTAAATTAAGGAGGGAAAAAATGTAAAATTCAGGAAGAAGTGGAGAATGTAGGAGACAATTGTAGGCTATGGCAAAAGGAAAGAGGAGAAGGTCCCCATACAAATAAAACCCTAGTACTTCATTTTTTTATTTTATTTTATTTTAATATTTTTTTTAGCACTTTATTTTATTTCAATATGTGTAGCCATGGTCTTAAATTTTTTTTTTTAATTTTTTTTTTTGTACTTTCATTTTTGACACATTACGTACTTCCATTTTAATTTTGAAACAATAGGAGTAACAAGGTACTGTATTTTTAACTTATAATTTTGTTATTCAGTTAATTAATTATTATTTTCTCTTTAGTATTTCTTTCTTTCTTCTTATATTTCATCACATTTGGTTCTCAAGCTTGACTTTTACTGTTAAAATCCTTGTCATTGAGCTAAAAAGAAAAATATATATATGAGAGGGTAATTTTTGGGAAAAACTGGGCCGAGCTGCGAGTTGGGCTTTAAGGCCCAGAAACGCGAAGGACTACCTAAAAAGGCCGTACTGAATACTCCGGCCTAGAGGGCAAGGTTACTCCGGCCTTGGGAAGACAAAGTTACTTCGGCCCAAGGAGGTGAGTTTATTCCGGCTCAAGTAGAGATAGTTGCTTCGGCCCAAGGAAGAGTAAGGCTACTCCGGTCCAGAGACAACTCGGAGTAGGGCCGGTCTTAGAGTTAGTCCGGTCGCAGTATGTTCTGGGAAGACCGGTTTCAGAATTAGTCCGGTCGTGACACAATCTGGTTAGGTCGGTCACACATCATACCCCCCACGTTAGGTCGGCTCAAAATTTAGAAGCTTGGCCCAATCTCTTTCTTTAATCCGAAATGCGGCTCGCAAGACTCCGAGGTTAGGATAGCTATACAA